GCTTCCAGGTATTTTTCGGTTGATCCTTGAATGATGTAAATTAATGTGATTAATTTATTCGTGCATAAATTAATATAATCTATAGAGTATCTCAAAAGTTTTATGAAAAATTTTGTTATACACGGTCCGCTGTTTTTCATCCCCATGCTTCCGCACCCGAATTCGATTCGGGAACCAGCAATAATTTTATTTAAGTTCATGTTCGTTTGTAAATTTTGAGTTTGAACTTGAGTTTGAACTCGAGTTTTAACTTGAGTTTGGGGTTAAAATCTGAGTTCAAGTTTCCCTTTCAACTCAAGTTCTTAAACTCAAACTCAAGTTAATGAACATTATTTTTTCTATATGGCCTCGTTCATTTCACCGATTCGAGTTTAAAATTCGAGTTTTACTACAGTAAAAAGCTCTTAGAAATAGTCACATCTAACTTTTTTGCTACAGTAAAAAGCTCTCACATAAGATCACATCTGAACTCGAATTAAAAACTCGAATCAGCGAACTAAACAGGAAAACGTCATAACTTTTTCGTTTTAATTCCGATTGAGATGATTTTTTTTCTTTGCGTTCACAACGAAGAGACGAATAAAACCCCACCCATATACCCTATTAAAATTTTTCATCGCCATTGAGTTTTTATTAAAATACTATCTAAATACAATTCAAGTTTTGACCCACTCAAACACAAACTCAAATAGATTCTCACTTCAAATCATAACTCAAATGTGTGCATCCAAACACAAATTCAAGTTACAACTTCAACTCAAATTATAACTCAAATTCAATTCAAGATCTACACTTAAATCACCATAACTTAAAAATGCAACCGAACACGCCCTGAATATTTATTTCCCAAAATAATAATAATAAATAAATAAATCTTTACTCACGGTAGTAATGGAATAGTTTTGCTGCACAGTGTTTTTTTTTTCCCGTTGCTTTACAAATTAGTCTTTACAAGTCGGCCTTTTGGGATGGATTGGACAACTAATTTCTGGAAAAAAAAAAAAAAAAAAAAAAAAAGAGAAGTTGAAATCATTTTGAGACAGATTTTCCCTCCATTATTATCAACACAACCTCTTCAACTAGATTTCTCTCTCATTTTCTTCCTTGTTTTCTTCCGAGAAAATCCATGGCGGTTGAACGCAGAAAGATTATCTCGGCTCTGATACCATTTTACAGAAATTAAAGGATATTGGGTCTAACTCAACCTAACAAAGCCGGCTTGTTAGGGGAGGATTGCCCTCACCTTATTAAGTAGATCATATCAATATCTCCAGCCAATGTGAGATTTTAATACTCCCCCTCACGTACAGCGTGGACCATGCCAAACCGCTGCGAATATGTCGATATTGGGGGACCCAACATTGTAAAACTGGTCTGCTTTGATACCATTTTACAGAAATCAAAGGATATTGGGCCTAACCCAACCTAACAAAACAGGCTTGTTAGAGGAGGATTGCCCTCACCTTATTACGTGAATCATGCTAATATTTTCAACCAATGTGGGATTCTAATAGAAGGAGATTACTCCTACGTGCTCATATTCCTTCTGGATTATTCGAAAGTAACTACTGATAGCTCTAAAACATATGTACACACTAATCCATTAAAAGAGTTGTAGCAAAAAAGACAAGATGTTTGGAGCATTCGATGAATATGGAATATTTTTCTGACAGTATTTTATTTGCAGAATGGTATTAACAATTCTGTCTATTAGGTATTAATTGCAGCAACATGAGTTATATATGGATTCTAATTTAATAAAAAAAATTAAAATCCGACGACAATGCTTCCACAATTTTTCCAAAATAATCAACCTACCACAAATGATGAGATATTAAATTAAAAAAAAAGAAAAAAAAAACCCAATATCCCTTGGTTTTTGAATTTTAGACCATATTCTCTTAAAACTGGCACCAAATATATCTACATGTACAGTTTCTTATGCATCAGAAGTTATGATCTACGAGCTTAATTAGCCAATTATAAGTTGGTGATCTACACAACATGTTTTGAAATCTCTGTGACAGTACTAGTACTGGTACTACTGGATTCAAGATCACCTGGTCCCGCGAACTTCTCATACTGGTTGTGCACCACCTCTGACACCGGCACCTCCTCGGCATGCACCACATCGTGTTGTTGAATCACTAGCACCGATGAAACCACACCGCGTCCCGGCGATGCCAATATGTCTCCGATTGGCCCCAATTCAGGGTGCTCTGCTTGTCGTTCAGCCAATTCCGCCACCATTTTCGACGGGAACCGACCCTTTCCTACCACTATGAGGTCATATTCCCCCCTGCAACCTATTGCCAAGACTCCCTCTACAATGTCGTTGGCCACTTTTTCTGTGTACTCTGCCATCCCATCCCATCTACTTTTGAATTCTGCCACTGCTGTCTCATCTAGTTCCTGTCCGAATATTTAACAACACCACGTTAATTAATCAAATGATCATGCAAATTACAGTGCATTGGAGAAAAAATCACTTGTATCCAATTCTTAATTTTCCAGAGACTAAAGAGTGAAAAGTATAAGCTCAAGGAATATGTAGTTGCTAAAACCCAGAGCAAAATGTGCTTTCATGTTTCCAAAAAAAAGGAAAGCACATCAACGTGACAAAAAATAACTCATGCACTAGAAAATTCAAATACCACCATATAGTACAATAAATCTTCAACAATGAGCTGAATAAAAGTGATTAATTAGCTAGTGAGCATAATATAACGGGTTTTTTTTTTTTTTTGGCTAATTCATGGTAGAAAAATGAAAAATATATATTTGAAAGTAGTAACCTTTTCTTTCTCTGGGTTCCTTTTGGCCGTGGAGAAGCTATATCTAACCTCTATGCTCTTGGTGGGTGATGGTTGCAACATAAGCCCCGCCTTCTCCACTCCTTCCTTATTCTCAACAAACCTCACAACCGTCACCTTAACCGCCGGGTGTTCCGCCATCCTTCCACCCAACTCCAACGCCTCTCGGTCGTCCGGCCCCCCAAAGAATACAATACATACCTAAATCGCAGAGACAATATTTTCATTTTCTCTTTATAAACGTACGTACGTAAATTATTATTATTATTTTATTATTATTATTACTATTATTATACCAATTAACCGGTCCTAATAATATTAATGTAGATCAATCATATATGTCAGTGCGTAGTAGGTACCTTTTGTGTGATGAGGTTAGTATTTGGCTCCGGCGTTTTATAAGCCCCGCCACTACCGAAACCTCGGTCGACGAGCACCGCCACCGAGCATGGCCCGTGCTTGAGCACCCTTTGGTTCACCTCTCTCCATCCATGGCCAACATTATCCACCACCTCCTCGTCGTCGACACCGCTGACGGTCCATTGTTTGTGGAAGGGCAGGATGATCATGGCAACACGCTTCTCCTCGGCCACATGGCAGATGTCATCGTGCATGGTGGAGAGCGGCGAGATGGCGGTGGTGGGCCGCACCGAGACCCGACCCAATTGTCGATAAGCCTGGAAGGCCCCGGCGACGCGGTCGTACCATTGACCACGGCGGAAGCGGTTGAAGAAAGGTAGGCCATTCTTGCGGACACGCTGGACCATGATGATGGAGGAGGATCTCTCGGTGAGCTCCACCAAGTGCATGATGAACAATTTTAGGGTTGAGGATTTCTTAGTGCTGCGAATGGACTCCACCAGGCTGATCAATGCCGGAGCGTTGCCTGGACCGTGGGCGCATGCGAGTATTCGGAGCTCGTCACGGGAGTCGTCGGAGAAGCCAGCGGAGGCGGAGAGGTCGCGGAGCTTGCGGTGTGTGGGGGCGGACATGCGGCGGGCTGGCTTGTAGATGGCCATCACCGTTGGGGTGGTGATGAAGGTGGTGAAAAGTGCCATTAGCACCATTATGGCAAATATCTCATCGTTTAGCACCTATATATAGATATTAATTATCATTAATTATACAGTACATGATATAATTAAGAGGAGAAAGATGATAGCGAGGAATTATTCAGTACATTGGGTGTATCACATCACTTATGTGGTACACATGTCTAATAAGATTATACTATTTAGACACTTGTCTAATGAGATTGTATCATTTAAACATTTTGTCTATATCAGTTTTTCACTTTTATTTTTTTCTTTCCTAATAAGTATTCAATGTAAATACCTATTAAAAAAGAGAAAAATAAAAGTGAAAAACTGACATAGATAAAATGTCCAAATGATACAATCTTATTAAACACATAAATATGACGTGATATACCCGTGTACTGAATAATTCCTTGCGATTATCACATGATATATATCTGGCAGTTTTCTTAAAGACCGCATGTTATAATGAGGACCCTTTGTTCTTTTCAACCTTTATATATCTATAAACACACATACATATTGTGAAGTTCTCTTTCATTAACAAATGCCCTTAATTAAAGTTAACTTTACATTTGAGTACACATGTTCAGGTAAATATTGCAGTCGATAGAAAAATCAAAATGGATGAAAAATGGCCACTATTAAAAAGTAGTTAAGCATGTGAACAAAGTATAACTCAACTAGAATTTAGTGTAAGACACTAATTCTTATATTATATATATATATACATATATATATATATAACTGGGGTTGGCAATCTAAGTAGCGACATGACTCGAAACTCACATGAAGTTAGGAGATTTGGGTTTACTATAAATGAGTTTAGGTCATAATCAGGTTTACACGATTAAAATGATTAATAAATGGGTTGGTTAGGGTTGACCTTCTAACACGAATTGACACGATTAACTATATGTGTCATCTGCAATATAATGATATGTGATATAATACGAAAGTTTATATGACATATTAAATACAAATAATGTGAATTTTAATATTTGTAGGTAAAATTCATTTATTTTTCTTAAAGGAAAAGATAAATTGACCAATAAATATGTTAAACTTGTCTTGACTGTATTAAATAAGTCATTATTATATTAGTTATTTATTCAATATATTAATTTAAACGGGTTATACGGGTTGGCACGATTAACATAATTAATAAATGGGTCGTGTTTGGGTTGACATTTTTGACACATTTAATAAACATGTCGCGTTTGGATTGATGTTTTCTAACACTATTAATAAACGGACTGACACAAATATGATTCATTAACACGAATTGCCACCCTTATATATAACAACAGACATGATCCGTGAAACTGGGAGTTTGGGCACTTTGGAATATTACCAATAAGTCTTGCTTTTAGGTTAATTAATTTAAATAGTACTTTTTGACACAAACTGATTTAGTTAATTTAATATTTGTATTTTTAGTAATACGTATCTTGTAACTATGTGCTAAAACAACCAGGCTCTCTTTTATTTCAAATTAAATAAATATGCACACTAATACTGATGTCGGCATATAACAACAACAAGCTTTTGATGAAGGTGCAAAGAGATTTCAGGAATCCAAAAATCATGAAAACGATTGGATATTTCAGGGTCAGTCTTGGCTATGCCAAGATTTCACAAATTGAATGGCGACAATGAAAAAGTTCGTGAACATAAGTTTCAAAAAATCATTTTTCTTAACGGCACTAGCATGGGTACGTCCTTTTGGCACGTGTTTTAAGTTGCTTTTTTTTTCCCCTAAATAATTGTAACAAATGTATATATACAAATATATATTAAGAACCATTTTTTATCAATTAGAGAAGAAAAAGAACATCTATTATAAGTTTTAGTCTTCGTGAAGCATGATATTTTGCAATGAATATATAGATAAAATATAAAATTACAATTAGAAGAACTCATTATAGTAAACATAATTAGGTAGATATGCAACTTTTTCATTTTGGTTATTTATAATGCAAATTTTTTTGCCAAATATTTTTTTGAATGAAGATGAAGAGGATTTAGTAATTTTTATTTTTGTATATTTTCTTAGCCAACTTAAAATAATTATGCCCAATTGTTGCTTGACTCTATAAAAGATAAGCAAAATTGATAACATATGAAAAGCGGTTGTATATTTGTTCCCTTTGATGAAAAACATGGATGTGTGATTAAGTTGACTAATTGTATAAGGTGCCAAAATAATATATATGAGTCATGTGGATTAATCTAAGTCATTGTACTAAATTAGCTTTACAAAAAAGTAATTTGAAAAAAGTAATTAATCTAAGTCATTGTACTAAATAATATAATGTTATAAATAATGATTCTCTATTGGTCCTTTGCTGCCTTCCCAGTTTTATATAATACTGGGAAAAAAACTGCGTTGAGAATATACTTACAATTTAGGTGAAAATAGATTGATGACAATCTAAACCAATGAGAGCTCGCATATAAGTTGTCTACCCCTTACATGTATGCTGACGCCTGATACATACATATATATATATATATATATATTCTTCTTAGATTTTGTTTCCCCTTCTGCTAGAATTTATATTTAGAGGGTCATCTTCTATTTATCTTTTAAAATTTATCTCAACAAAATATTCTTAAAAAGAATCATTATTTACTCGTCACGAGTCCGGTTAAATTAAGAGAAAGTTCAAGAGTCTTGCGAAAGTCTATATAGTCGGTGCTGACCGATTATAGATAACGATAGGAAAAGAAAATTTGTAAGAAACTAGAATGAGAAACTAAGAATAATGTAAATGAAAGAAAAGAGAGAGTGTAATACTTGCTTACAAAAAATTCCCAAAATTAGTAGTACGTATCAAAGTTGGACTTGGACTCTAATAATACGATCATCTGACTTCTTAGACTATTCTTCACCTATATAAAATCTGAACATATATAATAAAAATTAAATCATCTTTAAGGTCGGATTACTATCAAATTCTATTAATTTTGCATACTATTTTAAATTAAAATAATTAATTTATCTAATTTAACATTTAAAACTATGCACTTAATTTCAGCCGATAGTCTATCGTTGGAAGCTCCAATAAATATTAGTAAGCAACATAATTACTTATTTAACAGTTCAATCTAAAAACACAACATTACTAATTTTAAAAATAAAATGAAAATGGGAAAAAAAAAAAAAAAGAAAAAGATATAATTAAACTGACCTTTTTCTCCTTGCCAATGTTGAGAACAATGAGCTCCACAAGTCCTTTGGTGTTCATGAGCACGCCTAGCGTCAGCGACTCCCTTGCCGGGAACATCAACATTATCGCCACCGCGAATGTTCCGACGATCTTCCCCGCACACGCCGTCGATATCACCATCACCAGCAGCCCCCACGCCTTCCCTCCTTTTATCTTCGTCACGTCCGTCTTCAGCCCACTCGACGCAAAGTAGAGCGGCAGCAGCAGCCCCGACACAAAGTCCTCAATCCTCTCCGTCAGCCTGTCCGCAAAATCCCCTCCTTTCGGGATCGTAAGCCCGAAAACAAACGCTCCGAATATCGAGTGGATTCCGATAAGGTCCGTCATGAACCCCGACACCAATGTTCCGGCTAAGGTTAGGCAGATATACGCCTCGTCCACGACGCCGTTCTCCGATGAGCACCGACGTCCCACGCATTTCATCGCCGGCGATATCACCATGAGCATGAACACAACAAATGCGGTTCCGGAGAGAAGCACCCAGATGCATATTATGGGGCTTTTTTCTCCGGTGCCGTCGCCGTTGCCAGCTAGGGCGACGGCGAGGGCGAGGAGTATCCACGCGGCGACGTCGTTGAAGGCGGCGGCGGCCATGGCGATCTCGCCCACACGGGTGGTGAGGAGCTTGAGCTCGGCGAGAATGCGGGCCAAGACAGGGAAGGCTGTGATGGAGAGGGCGCAACCCATGAAGACAAGGAACTGGCCGTAGCCAACCTGGTCGGCTCCATCGACGGTCTTGCGGAGGACAAAGGCGACGCCGATGCCGGAGACAAAAGGGAGGGAAATACCCGCCAAGGCGATGAAAAAGGCCCGCCTTCCGCTGCGGCGGATGGAGCTAACGTCGAGCTCTAACCCGACAAGAAAGAGGAAGAAGAGGAGTCCTATGCTGGCTACGGACTCCAGTATGGGAGTGCTCCAGCTTGGGAATATCCTGTTCAAGTATTCGTGGTTCCTCCCTAACGCCGAGGGTCCCAGCAAAATTCCACCCTAATAAATTTAATTCTTAATCAAAATCGAAACCATAATTAATGAGTGATTTGATTAAACAAGTCACTGTTGATAAGATTCTATTTTATAAAATATTAATTTCCTGTAAGATGTATTGTATTAATTAATTTTTGATTAAACTCAAAGCCATGCAAGGTGTGTGCTAAGGTTCCATGAGGTTTTGTTTTGTTTTTTGTTTTTTTTTTTTTGAAGAAAAAAATGGAATAACTAGTAGTAATTTAGTAGTATACTTACAACAATCTCGGCGATGACTTTGGGTTGGCGGAGAGGCTTGAGAAGGAAGGCAAGGAAGCGGCTGAGGATGATAATAAGAGTGGTTTGGACAATCAAGAGAGGGAAGGCATAATCTAGAGGGTTGTCACCTTGCCATGCCCCATTTGATGAAGTTTTGATTGATGTTATATTCACTCCCATCTTGATAATATTGCTTAATTCCCACTATTTCGTAATATATCTATATATATATACACACATATATACATATGTATGTATATCTTGTTTTTGTGTGTTTTAGGCTTTTAGCTAGAATATCAATGAGCTAGAGAAGAAGTGATCATATTGTGATGATGTGATTAGAGAAAAGAGAGAGAAGATGAAGAAAGAGTATTGAGAAGAGGTGTGGTATATATAGAGAAAATTACTAGTACTAGTAAAGCAAAGTTTTTATCCCTTTTTGGTCCGTGTAATAGTCAAATTCAATTTTCCTACTTTAGCTTCTTTAAGAGTATTAGTATAAAATATAATCTTGTCCGTATGTTTGATTTTAGACTATATGATTATGTAAAAACTACATCACTTAAAATATATGTAAATGGTCAATGTACTAATATTTTTTATCCGACAGTACAATTTTCCAAAATTGTAATTCTGATGTCTACAATTAAAGAACTTGTCGCCATCTAACCCTCCAAATTTATTCACCGTATACTTTCTAAATGCAATTCTATGTTTGGATGATTTCATTTTATAAAATGTATATTATATAGTCAAAAAATTTGGCAAGTACCGCTGTATATCTGCCATCCAAACATAGTCAAAAAAAAAAAAAATATTACGTACATTAGTGAATTCAAAAGTGTGACTAAAAACAGAAATATTGCAAATTAATTTACACGGATACTATTGTTGTTGTATAAAATCTCTCTCACTTTAGATGTTTGTGTTGTGTTAATTTTAAAAGGTATTTTATGAATAAAATTTTCGAGTGTATTTATTTTTCAAAATTGAGAGTGAGAGAGGTTCAAAATTCAAAGTTAATCCTTTCAAGAAAAAAAATAATTCAAAGTCAATAATAAAAGTAAAGCGTAAATTTGTTACTAAGTTAAAACCATCACCGATAGTAGTCTTTAAGAATATTCAAAACAAAATAACACTTGAATAGATCAGCAGCCACACATTTTCATGATTATCTTCGTACACGATGATGCAAAAGGAAGAAGAAGAGAAATTTGACTTATTATAATAGCTGATTTTAAAATAAAGGAAAAGTAAAATTCGAAGTTAAAGTTCCTCTTAGCCAAGTAAATGAAAATGAAGCGTGATTGATCCCAAGACGGCTCTTACAAACACGTAATCATATAGTATTTTGGTTTAATGGAATCGTCTTCATATAGTTATATATCTTTTTTATTAATTATATAAAAAACTGTATATATCATTTTCATTTGTATTAAATTAAAATTGATTTGGAAGGTTTTTTTTTTCCTCCAAATAAAAATTTCGTTTACCAAGGCAAAAAAATCAAATTAGTACAGAAATAGTGAGTCAATCAAATTATGTGGAGGCGTGTATTTAGAAAGCGGTTTGAAAAGTAAAATTGAGATGTGAATGGAATTACTTTTTTTATATTCTTTAAAATTTACAATTATAATATTTATTTTAATTGAACGAGAAATATTTTCATTAAAAGTTAAGTGCATGCTCTATTTCGTGGGAGCAATAGGCAACGGGAGTGTGGTGCCCTGTTGTTCATTAGTACTCATGGGAATCATGTAATTCCTAGATGTAAATAAATATATATATATATATATATATGTTCGTGGAATTCTATCTGTTCATTGAATCTTCTAAGATATCGTTATCCCCTATAACTTTGAAACAATTATATATATGTATATATATAGACGTTTGGTAAACATATATAAATAATCACGGGAGTCTTGCAAAATTAGGAGTGTCCTTAAAAGTTGCAAATTCTCGTTAAACCTCCGTCTCATATTCCCCAAATGGGTTAATTAGTTTGGGATGGATCCTGTGATATCCACTCACCTTTTCAATTTGTTGTTAAAAATTCAAAGGTCTAATTTATGTACGTGGTCGACATTTAAAGGAGTTTTGACTTTGGAATTTGAATATTTATAAGAAATTTTCTAAAATTACTCTTAAAATTTAATGTGAAATCAACATTCCCTTTGTTCGGTATTGTCCCTTTTTTAAAAGTTTTTTAGATAAATTGCACAAATTGTCCCTAAACTCTTTAAAATGTCACACTTTGGTCCTCAAACTTTTTTTAAAACGAAACAAACCCTAAACTATTTAAACGAGTGTAATGTAGTCATTTCCGTCAGATGTCGTCTAAAAAATAACGGCATAATAACCTAAAAGGGTGACATTATGGTCCCTTACTTCTTTATGAGGTGGTTTTTTAGTTCCAATCAACTTTAATAGGTTAGGATTTGATCCCTATTTTTGGATGACATTTAACAGAAATGACGACATTGCACTCTTTTAAATAGTTTGGGGCTCGTTTTGTCTAAAAAAAAGTTTAGAGACCAAACTGTCACCTTTTGACAAGTTTGAGGACCATTCGTGCCAATTACCCAATTTTTTTAAGCTAACTAATTTAATAAAAGGGCAATTATGATAAATGAGACAATAACAAAATCATCACTATCTAAAATGGGTGATTAGGGGAATAGTGATATTTTCCCTATTTATAATGGGTGATTAAAATAGTTACGGCTCATAATGTACAAGAATATATTGATTCTGGGATTTTAATTCCTTTAATATAATGGTTATTCTAAGAGAATTTATGATAAGACGTTACAAATCCTATTTATTGCCTATTCACTTTCTTGATGAAAGAATAAGTGATTTCAATTATATAATACACCAAGAGTCGTAGCGTAGCCAATTGAGAGAAAGACATTAGACATTTGATTTCCCATATGTTTCCACTCATAAATTATAAAATACTTTCTAAAGATGAAATAGGCTAAACCATCCGAAATAGTAAAACTCCATATTTATTCTTAATCATCTAGAGGTAAGATACTTTTATTTATTTTCTAATTTATACAATAGCCCCTTATTCTTTCCTATATTTATATACTTAACCAGTATTTCTCTATTTGTGATCAGAAGATGATAATGAGAGGTTAGAAGTTAAGAGTGACAACGTACCATTAATCCTATCATTGTCAAAAGTCACATTTTTTATAACCATAGGCTGGATCAATTTTATGATCATCAATTTGAAGCCAAGTGATCACAGTACCATCGTTAAATATAAACGTAAAAAATAATATTAATGGGTCCCACCTAGGTATTTCCTGTGACCTAAGTATAAAAGAAGTGGTGATATCTAATACCAGTTGGAACCAAATTAAGATGTCAATTTGCCTTTTCAATTATAAATATTTAGTGGGTGTTTGCATGTGTAAAGCCTGTCAACCGAGCTTTTTGTTTGGCACTCGAGAGAGGGCAATATGTGCAACAAGGTGTCCGTGATTTAAGCATAAGGAGTGATGATTATATATTGCAAGCACTATTCATATATCAACGTATATTTAATTTACATACGTATATATGTATAATATTAACTTTTTAACTATAATTATACTCCTCTTTATTATTAAAATTTTTGTCATTCCTTATATTGAATTTGTCCATAGTCGCAAGTAGTGGCCAATTAATTGGATTGATTTGCTAAGAGGAAGACCCATATGAATATTTTCGATCGGGCACTAAATAAATGGATAGTTTCTATGGGTCCATTTAGTTCACTGATTTAGTTTTTAATTTGAGTTGAGATGTGACTTTATGTGAGAATTTTTTACTGTAGTAAAAAAGTTAGATGTGACTGTTTCTGAGAGTTTTTTACTGTAGCAAAACTCGAATTCTAAACTCGAATCGGTGAAATAAACGGGTAGTAAAACTTGAATTGGTGAAATGAACGGGGTCTATAATTACATGTATTGTTCCAAAGATATATATTAACCGTCTTAAAAAACCCACCAACTACAAAAACTTGCAGAATGTTATACTTTCTTCAAAATTCATTGAGCCTCAAGAAGCTAAAGAAATTATACTACTTTATCATATAATGTAGCTTTGGCTTAGGAGGCATCTTCTCTAATTTTGATGCTGATCAAAACAAAGAAATGTTTCGAATTCGTAATATTTAGAGATAAGCTAATTAATTTGACCCAATTTTTGTGTATTTAAAATCTGCGACCTGTAATATATGTGTGAGTACGTACTACTATATATGGTAAGTACTATAATAATTAGCTTATTTATTTGACATGCATGATCATGGCCATAATTTTCTCGTAGTCCAAATTTAAAGCAAAGAACAAAGAACAAATAGCATTGGCCTATGTGTTAAAAAGTGCATAAAAATAAACGGATAAATTTGAACATACGTGGAATTTGCTAGCTAGCTAATGGACTTGGAATTTAATTAATACAGGAAAATTAAATCACATGTTACAATGGTAAGTGTCTGGTGACTCATTACTAAAAGGCTAATCACCAGATTAACACGGAGATTATTTTAAGGCTCTAAATTCTAATCACTATCTGAATGATTATAGTTGTGTACTCATCTGTTTACCAGCTGCCTTTCCTTAATTTATCTTTCGCTTAATCATGAAGTATTATATATATATATATATATATATATACACACAAAAAGTAATAATATCCATTAATGAGAGTAAGATAGAGATCTTGTTATAATTAATTGGCAATATTAGTCCTTCGTTATTATTAATTAGCAATATTAGTCCTAATACACTTTCTTATAATTTCACATCGTAACATTTAAGTCAATGTCATAACAACGTATATCAATTTAGCTAAATTTGTATAATTTGCTACGTATAGAATCTTTGGCATACTCAGATGACCTCAAAGGTATATATAGGTAGGAATATTACCAAGGAAATCACAAGAACAAGAGAAAAGGAAGGAAAAAAAAAAAAAAAAAACGGTCTAATAATATGTGTGTCGTTCTCTCAAGAGATCATGATCAAATTAGTTTATTTAAATTAGCATCCCGAAATTGAGTATATAACTAAAGTATATATAACTAGTGAATAATACTAGCGATACCAACTTAAATCTCAATTATTGTATAATTAATGTTGTATGTGAATTGTTATTTTTTTTATTAGTGGGTGTAAAAGATTGTCACGTCAATTAATGAAATAAATTGCACATATTAATAAAAAAATAACAACTCACGTATCACATCAATTATTAAAATTTGAGTTAATTTATTAAAATTTAAGTTGGTGTTTCTAACATTATTCATAATTAATATAGCAACAGTTTGGATTGGAGGCACTATTTGTTGGCTTTTCTCGACAAAGACTGATGGAAATCTCTTGCACAAACAACTAAAAAGAACCGTGTGATACTAATATGAATGATTGGTTATTTTTAAACATCAATAACTTCGCTATCGTAAAGATGCAAAGCTTCCACATATTTCATAAGTTTACATAATATGCAACATTATTTATTTATTTTTTATTTTTTATTTTTTGGTAACAAAGAACCGTATGTTGGTTTAATCGACACGAAAACCGTGTCATTTCTGATATCTATATATATATATATATATATATATTATAATACAAATAATATGTGGCTGCAAGGTCTTTCAAACAAGAAGTATTGGATTATTATCAGTAAACATAATACGAACCATTTAATGAAATCCAATATTAGAGATTGAAAGAGATAATGCATTTCTTATTCGAAAAAAAAAAAAAAAAAGAAAGAGATAATGCATTGTCTTCAGTCTTCTGTTCTCATCAATCTCATAGTCCGCAGTACATGTCAATTCTTATATGTCGATATTTTTTATTGTAAAAGTTTGTTTCTTGTTCTTAATACATAATAATTTTGGGAAGTTACATACGTTGGATACATTAGAGACAGACACTATACTTTAGAAGATTTTTTTTTTTTTTTGAGCAATATACTTTAGAAGAATTGCCATACTGCAAAATAGATTACATCTATACCATAAAAAATAGATAATAGATTACAGTTCTTAAATAAAGAGGACAAAATATAGGCCCAGCAATCCAGGAAAGAAAATTCCGCTTCAATCAAGGGTTTCCGCTGTTCAAGTGCTTGCTTCAGCTCCAGGTCCGTTCTTTTCATCACTTGAATCACAGTTATCTCAAAAAAAAATTTAAATTCAACTTATATTTTTTTTTTACATAAATTCACATTTTACTCGTCTCCAACTCAAGCCCGCAAAAGGAAGTTAAAGAACAGGGCCTAAAGCAAAGCAAATAGACCTGTTGTTTGCTCCTGTCTCTCTATTTTACTTACCCAGGCGCTAGTCCGTAATATGCAATGGACTTCCCGGAATGAACATGCAAGTTGGCCATACAGTAGCTCAATAGACGTGTATGACTGATTGGCTCTCTTCGGGATCAACTTTGATGAGTAAAACCAGCATTTGTTCACCCTCAGTACTGAACACTCTCTTCTTGTTGTAGAACTCTTCGGACTTAGTTATTCAACTCTTCTTTGAATCTTTTAACTCGAGTCCTCGTCACCGGACCAACTGGAAATTGAATTGGATCGTGAGTATTTCTTGTATTCCTGATGTCCTCGTCAATATGGGATTCAATGAAATGCTTAGTACAAGTCTAACCTCCGATTTCTAAGATTTTTCTTATTTTTAGATGGATTTGTTCTATAACTAGAAGACTCTTCTCAAAAATAAATAAATGAGGACTCCAAAATCGTCCTTAAATTTTCACATGAAAAGAGCCGCAGTCAACTGACCTTTACCTTTTTTTGCTTTTTCCGGATCTCCTTCCTAACAAGAGAGGCAAAGAATTAGCAGCAGCTAAATATACTTTGAAGTCCTCCTTTTAGAAGAAAAGGAGAGGAAATTTATATACAGCAGCGTTCTTGCAAAGAAATTGCATTTAAACAGTAACATAAAACAGAAAATAACTTAAAAGAAAAATGTCAAAGCAACATCAAACGTTGCAATGAATTTTTTAGTTGCATCTAGATTAGACCAAATTACATGGATCGTTTAGAATATTTTAGGCTTTGTTTTGGCTTCTAACAGAGATTAATATCTGCATTCTATTTCCAACCAAAAAAGAAAAAGAAACATTTGTTCAATAGCAGTTATAAGGTACAGACCTCTTGGCAATACAATCAGGCAGGTCTCCTAGAATTCCAGTAAGGTTACGTTCCTGAAAACACGTCAAGCAATAAAACTGAATTTCCATCCAGATAAGTTATGAGTTTGCACGAAGTTAAAGTTAAATACAAAAGGTTATATATCCAAAACAACCCATCCAGATGCGTTACATGTGTTTCGCTGCTGAAGAGAAAATTCGTTTGCTAACTACTAAGAATATGTTAAGTGTTTGATACGTACAAGGTAAAAGAAAGTTAGAAACAATGAGACACCACTAAACAATACGAACCGAATCATAAACTGGCATTTGGTTCCGCCAGAATTCCATGGTTGGTAGCAGTAACCTCCCTGTAACGTATTCAAACAAAACAAAACTTATGAGCATGATTCAAGCAATGCAAAACTCGCATCTTCGTGTCAGTAGCTTTACAAAGACAAATGAGAATGTCAATCATCAATTGCTATTGCAGAAATATCCTTTTACATAACTGATGTAGAACCAAGCGAAAAGAAATAGAATTTGACAAAAATAGAACGAGAACCGAAGAGGAGGGACTCTGAAATCTCAATATTCATTCATCAATCATGTCTAACTTAAAAATAATATAGCTAGGATTACTTATAGTGAACTGAAACCTAATGATAAGATCTGATAGACTATTCATCATACAAGATAAACTTAATGAAAATCTAAATAATCCTCATAGATAAACATAGTCTTAAATTCCTATGTATATTAATCTTACTCCTCAATCCTCATCAATAATATACCACACGACGTTAGAGAGAGAGAGACTTAAATTCTAATTATATAAATCTTGTGAGAGACAGAGAGATGAAGGTAAATTCCAAATTATATATATATTCGGAAAGTGACAGAGATATAAGGGCAGCAAAGCCACCAGATCTGGATTGTCTAACAGTCGAACATTCTGGAGAAAATATAGACGTTATTGCTTTTTCTTCCGGAGAATGTGGAGGTACCTAAACAGAGAAAAAAAAAAAAATACATCAAGCTTTAAATAAATTGCACACCACTGTAGAGGCTCTAAAAACAAAATTAGTATACTTGTACAGAAATCTACAACATCAATTTGTGACCTGAAAGGCTGAAACGAATGTTCATAAACACGGCTAATAAATAATCCAGGATGACTTTCAAATTGAAAAAGGGGAAAATTTCATTTTGGTACCTTGTAGTATATTAAAATATGAGTTTGGTATCCTCTGTTTTTAATAATTGCATGCCGGTACCTCAACTTTTTAGAAAATCTTCTTTTGGTACCTCAAGATAGTTTTTTAGGACACAAAAAGACAAAATTGCTCTTTTTATTAAATACATAAAAAGCTTTTTAAAAAATCTTAAACACACAACCAAGATTTTGCTTTATGTTTGGGATAGAGTGAAGTTTGGGTGGTTGGATGTAGGTTTAGTGTTTTTTTTTTTTTAAAGTTTTTTTTAATATATTTAATAATAATGTTAATTTTGTCTTTTTGCATCCTAAAAAACTGCCCAAGGTACTAAAAGAAGATTTTCTAAAAGTTCGAGATACCGGCATGAAATTATTAAAAACAGAGGGTACCAAACTCATATTTTAATATAACACAGGGTACTAAAATGAAATTTTCCCTTGAAAAAAATATACAGGTTTCCATTATTCATTTGCAACATTATCTAGTCATACAGACATACCGAATTCAGTTTACATGTTAAATAAATCTAGTCACACAGACACCGCATACGATCAAATTCAACACAATAATCATTCTTTTTACCTCAAAATCAGAATGGATGATTTTGTTTATGGTACATTAACAATTAACTAAAATCAAAATGTTAATATTAGCATGAACACTTTGTAATGAAAAAAAATATGAAATTATTTTTTGACCATGATGCAAATTAAACTACAAATTAACACAATCCAATTTCAATTATTTCAACCAAAAGTGTATAAGACAAATAAGTATGTTACTATCACCAGCTTACTTGTTTCTCAAACATAATTTTCCTCTTTGTTTTCTTAAGTGGTGTGCTTTCTTCCTTAGTGTCAAATTCTTCCTCAGTGTAAGTTTCTTCCTCAGTGTTAGTTTCTTCCTCAGTGTCAGTTTCTTTTGCAGCTGCAACATTCAACACTGTGAGTTCGATTTTTTATGATCAAGACCGAAGTGTGAACTAGCTAATCAACTAAGAAGCCCAACCCGAATAATACCTTTACTATTCACATTTTTGGGTTTTCTTCCCTGTTTAGATTTGGAAGTCTGATGTGGACCATCTTTTACAGATCCATCACCTAGTTTTTGAGCCACATTTGCATCCATTGGCTCTTGAAGTTCATTTCCAGATGCAATGAGTATGCTTCCACCTCCTACTTCATTTTGAACAAGATTGTTCTTAGGATAAGAAACTACTGGAAGAGGATTCAACGTATTGTATCTAGAAGCCAAACCCAAAACTACGGTTGGCCTATCCTTCGTTTGGCTTCTAATTTTAGCCAACAAGTGAATGGGAGATTTCTCAGACACGTCCAGTTTCCTCCCAGACTGAATAGTTCCACCTAAGACACGTCCAGGATTCAACTTATTGCTATCTTCGTGAATGGCATATTTTTGCCAGTTTGGAGGAAATCCGAAAATAAAATCATTGAACACCTGTTTGAGTTAAAACGCAGATATGAACACCAAATCCAAATGTCACCCAAAAAAAAAAGAAATGAATATAAAAACCCATATCAAATTTATAACTGAATTAACTGGTGAGCACAACATTATAACCGCTGCACATTTAGGGCATGTCTGCTTCTCATTAAGGTAAAATTAAGGTGGAAAAAGTTAGGCGAAATGACCTATTGTTTTTATATTGGCAATGCGATAGCTTTTCTGCAGTGTAATTCTCCACATTCACCAGTGAAGAATATACATATATATATTATATATAATATGAATATTGGAGCAAATGGCAGCATTCCATTAATTCCAAGAAGTAAATATATACAATTGTCATGGAGTCGCAAATCAATACTAATCTCCTAAAATAAAGAATTGACAATCAGTAGCTAATTGACAGCTATTTATACGTTATTCTAATCCCTAGAATTAGGCAATTGACTCAATCTACAATAATGATAAATTATTTACAATGATTGACTGTTGTTGCCTTCTATATGCCCCCTCAAGTTGGAGCTCCTAGTGGAGATTCCAATCTTGTCCTTGAGATTAAGAAATTGAGTACGTGAGAGTGGCTTTGTGAGCGCATCAGCCAACTGATCTGCGGAGGAGACATGGGCGACACGGAGGGCACCACTTTGGACTTGTTCGCGGATGAAGTGAAAATCAATAGCAACATGCTTCATGCGAGAGTGAAAAACTGGGTTGGAACAAAGATGGGTGGCTCCAATATTGTCACAATAGATGACCGGAGCTTGCGAAGTCTGTATTCCAAGTTCATTAAGAAGTGAACAGATCCAGCGTAATTCGGCAACAGTGGCCGCCACAGCACGATACTCAGCTTCAGTTGACGAGCATGCAACTGTGCGTTGTTTCTTAGAGCTCCAAGAAACTGGACTGCGACCAAGATAAACAATATAAGCACTGGTTGATGTGTAGTCATCTTTGTTACCAGCCCAATCAGTATCTAAGAAGGCATGGAGAGATAGTGTTGGGTTGCAATGAAGTACTATTCCATGATCAGATGTGCCACGAAGGTATCGAAACAGGCGTTTGGTGGCATTCCAATGATCTATCGTAGGTCGGTGCATGAACTGAGAGAGCTTATTTACTGCAAATGCAATGTCAAGCCTTGTGAGAGTTAAGTATTGAAGACTACCAACAATTGTTCGGTATTATGAAGCAACTGTCAAGGTGGTGCCATTGTGAAGACTCAGAGTTTGATCTGTTCCCAAAGGTGTAAGAACTGGTTTGGCATCGGTCATGTGAGTACGTGTGAGAAGATCATTAATGTAGCAACATTGCGAGAGAAGGAGACCATGCTTGTGTGGAAGAACCTCAACACCCAGAAAATAAGAGAGACTGCCAAGATCCTTTAGAGAAAAACGTGCTGCAAGTTGAGTAACAAAACGTTGCACTACAGAGTTGTCAGTCCCTGTGATGATGATGTCATCTACATATACTAGCAAGTAGATCATGGTATTTGTATTGTTGAAGACGAACAGAGAAGTGTCCGCACGTGAGTTGTTGAAGCCCTTAGTAAGAAGAAATTGTCGTAACTCATGGTACCATGCCCGTGGAGCTTGTTTCAAACCATAGATGGCTTTGTGCAATTTGCACACATGATCTGGAAATTCTCTATCAACAAAGCCTGGAGGTTGTATCATGAAGACATCTTCAGTGAGATGACCTTGTAAAAAGGCATTGTTGATGTCAAGTTGTCGTAGCGACCATCCCTAACTGATTGCAATGGTGAGAACTAGACGAATTGTTGTTGGTTTGACAACTGGGCTGAAAGTGTCATGGTAGTCAATGCCTGGACGTTGATGGAACCCCTTTGCCACTAAGTGTGCTTTGTGCCTGTCAACAGAACCATCTTGTAAACGTTTAGTATGAAAAATCCACTTACATCCAACAAGATTGTGGGCTTGATTGGGTGGAACAAGCTCCCATGTACCATTCCGAACAAGAGCATCATACTCTTCAGACATTGCACGACGCCATTTGATGTCTTTTAGGACTTGGGTCACTGTTGTTGGTTCTAGGTCCTCAGATGTGATTAGTTGAGCATTGAGATTGAGCTTTTGGATTGGTTTGTGGATATGATTTTTGGCTCTTGTGGTCATGGAATGGGTGTTGGTTTGGTCTAGGTGGTTGGATGCAGTGGGTGGTGAATTTTGGTTTTGTTCTGGGGTGGGAATAGATGAAAAAGGTGGCAGGCTTTGGTCTTGGGTGGTGGTTGGTCGATCAGTTGAGGTAGATTGGTCCACGCGTTTGGATTTTCTGGTGTCGATGTCATTTGTACAGAAGCAGCATTTGAGAGACCTTCCACTGATGATTTAAAAAAAAAAAAAAAAAAAGATTGACAAAATTACCTTTGTCGTGGCAGTGATAATAAAAGAAGGAAAAGAGAAGGGGAAAAGACGAAGAAATTAAAGTGGTGTTTAGGTTACTAAGGGATTGACCATCAAATACAACAAGCTAAAGGAAGGAAGTCAAGAACGCACCTTACAATATCCTTGCCTTGTGGTGTTTTGTGAGGGCATAGAATTTTGGAGACAAAGCAAAAAAAAAAAAAAAAATTATTATTATTATAATAAGTAAAAAGGAGTATAGCCTGCAAGGGTGATAGGTTCGGGTATTGACTTCACCTAACTCATGCATGAGTAGAGAGAAACCAGTTTCTACAATGTGACGATGTCGTCTTTCAGAATATCCATTATGTTCAGGTGTATCTGGTGGAGTGGTTAAATGAGTGATGCCATTTGTAGCTAAAAATGAATCAAGAGCTTGATATTCCCCACCATTATCGGAGTACAGGGTTTTAATTTTGTGATTAAAATAATTTTCTACAAGTGCTTTGAATCGGATGAAGACAACAGACATGAGATTTACGCTTAAGCGGATAATACCAGACATATTTGGTGAAGTGATCAACAAAAATGACGTAGTATTTGAAGTCATCATATGAATGCACAGGAGAGGTCCAAACATCAGAGAAAATTATTTCAAGAGATTTTGTAGAGACAAGAGAAGAAATAGAAAATGGAAGCTTATGACTTTTACTACAGCTGCAAGCATTACAATGCTTATTTGTTGTGGAGACAGAAACTGGTAATTGAAATTTAGAGATGACATGTTTGTAAATTGGAGAGGCAGGGTGACCTAGGCGATTGTGCCACTCGACAGTTGTTGTCTTGACACTGGAAAAGAGAACAAGAGGGGATTTGGTTGTTGAAGAGATTGGCCACTCATACACTCCATCCTTGGTTGGTCCCTTCAGAAGTGTTGCCCCCGTGCTTAGGTCCTTCACCAGAAAACCAGAAGGTAGGAATTCAATAGAAACATTATTAGTGAGGCACATTTGAGAAATGAAAATGAGATTCTTTTTCATGGTGGGAACACACAAAACATTATGTAATTGAAAATTGCGTGTGGAGGAAGGAAGTGAGGTAGAACCAATGTGGGTAATTTGAAGACCCGTGCCATCACCAATCATGACATCGTCATGGGCATCGTACGGTGCATGAAGAGAGAGATTATCCAGGTCGGTGGTGACATGATGAGATGCACCACTATCAAGAAGCCATGATGGAGTGTTGGATGTGCCAGTTGTGGTGTAGTTGACTCGTGGTTGCCAAGGAGACGATGAACGTGGACCTGTTGGTCGGAAACCCGCTGATCGTGGGGTTGTTGGTGAATAGCCTGAATTAGATTGAGTGGAGATTAATCGAAATTGCGGGCATCGTTTGGCTGTGTGCCCTTGAGTATTGCACGCTTGACATGTTCCAAGATAAGGACGTGGTGGAGGTCTTTCAGCCCGAGAATTGTTAGATGACGACCATTGATGTGGTGATGGTTGAGTTGATGAGTTGAAAGGGGGACGCCATGGTTTGCTTCGCGGATTCACGGTTGTCGGATTTGCTGTTGCTGGAAGAGATGCTGGTTGTGGTGGTTGAGATTGACGCAACGTAGTTTCCTTGTTCAGGAGTTTTTCATGAAGCTCATCAAATGAGATGGTCGTGTCTCGAGCGTTGACAGCGTCAACGATGGATTTGTATTCCTCATCAAGACCGTCAAGGACTTTTTCAATCAAGTCCTCTTCATCAGATGGTTTGCCCAGAATTGCAAGCTCATCGGCACGACTCCTAATATATTGCATATATTCACTAATGGTACGTGAGCCTTTGATTGGATTCTTTAGTTGCTCCTTAATTTGCTTGATATGACCACGAGTGGGTTTTGCATATGTGCTTTCAAGAATCATCCAGGCATCACGAGAGGTGGTAGCACGGTTTAGGAGTGGAACAATTGCAGCCGACAATGATCCGACCATGGCGCTGAAGATTAATTTATCCTGTCGATGCCATGTTTGAAACGCTGGATTTGGTGACTCCTTGCCATTAGTGGTAATGGTGGAAGATGGTGCATTAATCGAGCCATCAATATAGCCTTCAAGATTGTAGCCTGTCAAGGTTGCATGAAATTATAATTTCCATGAGAGATAATTGGTGGGTGTGAGTTTTATGGTGGAATGGGAGGAGATGTTTATGGCAATAAGAGGATGATTAGGTTCATGAGAATTTGGAATGATTGGTTGAGAGATGGCAGTGACTGTTTGATCTTTTGAGGCCATTGTGTGAAGAAGAAGTGTGCAACAGGTGATTTCTGAGTTCAACCGTGAGGGGAAAAAAAAAAGAGACGAAGAGGAAGATTGGCTTACGATCAGGGCTCTGATACCATAATATGAATATTGGAGCAAATGGCAGCATTCCATTAATTCCAAGAAGTAAATATATACAATTGTCATGGAGTCGCAAATCAATACTAATCTCCTAAAATAAAGAATTGACAATCAGTAGCTAATTGACAGCTATTTATACGTTATTCTAATCCCTAGAATTAGGCAATTGACTCAATCTACAATAATGATAAATTATTTACAATGATTGACTGTTGTTGCCTTCTATATGCCCCCTCAAGTTGGAGCTCCTAGTGGAGATTCCAATCTTGTCCTTGAGATTAAGAAATTGAGTACGTGAGAGTGGCTTTGTGAGCGCATCAGCCAACTGATCTGCGGAGGAGACATGGGCGACACGGAGGGCACCACTTTGGACTTGTTCGCGGATGAAGTGAAAATCAATAGCAACATGCTTCATGCGAGAGTGAAAAACTGGGTTGGAACAAAGATGGGTGGCTCCAATATTGTCACAATAGATGACCGGAGCTTGCGAAGTCTGTATTCCAAGTTCATTAAGAAGTGAACAGATCCAGCGTAATTCGGCAACAGTGGCCGCCACAGCACGATACTCAGCTTCAGTTGACGAGCATGCAACTGTGCGTTGTTTCTTAGAGCTCCAAGAAACTGGACTGCGACCAAGATAAACAATATAAGCACTGGTTGATGTGTAGTCATCTTTGTTACCAGCCCAATCAGTATCTAAGAAGGCATGGAGAGATAGTGTTGGGTTGCAATGAAGTACTATTCCATGATCAGATGTGCCACGAAGGTATCGAAACAGGCGTTTGGTGGCATTCCAATGATCTATCGTAGGTCGGTGCATGAACTGAGAGAGCTTATTTACTGCAAATGCAATGTCAAGCCTTGTGAGAGTTAAGTATTGAAGACTACCAACAATTGTTCGGTATTATGAAGCAACTGTCAAGGTGGTGCCATTGTGAAGACTCAGAGTTTGATCTGTTCCCAAAGGTGTAAGAACTGGTTTGGCATCGGTCATGTGAGTACGTGTGAGAAGATCATTAATGTAGCAACATTGCGAGAGAAGGAGACCATGCTTGTGTGGAAGAACCTCAACACCCAGAAAATAAGAGAGACTGCCAAGATCCTTTAGAGAAAAACGTGCTGCAAGTTGAGTAACAAAACGTTGCACTACAGAGTTGTCAGTCCCTGTGATGATGATGTCATCTACATATACTAGCAAGTAGATCATGGTATTTGTATTGTTGAAGACGAACAGAGAAGTGTCCGCACGTGAGTTGTTGAAGCCCTTAGTAAGAAGAAATTGTCGTAACTCATGGTACCATGCCCGTGGAGCTTGTTTCAAACCATAGATGGCTTTGTGCAATTTGCACACATGATCTGGAAATTCTCTATCAACAAAGCCTGGAGGTTGTATCATGAAGACATCTTCAGTGAGATGACCTTGTAAAAAGGCATTGTTGATGTCAAGTTGTCGTAGCGACCATCCCTAACTGATTGCAATGGTGAGAACTAGACGAATTGTTGTTGGTTTGACAACTGGGCTGAAAGTGTCATGGTAGTCAATGCCTGGACGTTGATGGAACCCCTTTGCCACTAAGTGTGCTTTGTGCCTGTCAACAGAACCATCTTGTAAACGTTTAGTATGAAAAATCCACTTACATCCAACAAGATTGTGGGCTTGATTGGGTGGAACAAGCTCCCATGTACCATTCCGAACAAGAGCATCATACTCTTCAGACATTGCACGACGCCATTTGATGTCTTTTAGGACTTGGGTCACTGTTGTTGGTTCTAGGTCCTCAGATGTGATTAGTTGAGCATTGAGATTGAGCTTTTGGATTGGTTTGTGGATATGATTTTTGGCTCTTGTGGTCATGGAATGGGTGTTGGTTTGGTCTAGGTGGTTGGATGCAGTGGGTGGTGAATTTTGGTTTTGTTCTGGGGTGGGAATAGATGAAAAAGGTGGCAGGCTTTGGTCTTGGGTGGTGGTTGGTCGATCAGTTGAGGTAGATTGGTCCACGCGTTTGGATTTTCTGGTGTCGATGTCATTTGTACAGAAGCAGCATTTGAGAGACCTTCCACTGATGAAGTGTTGAGTGTTGTGGCAGCGAGAGAATCTGTGGAAATTATGTAGGCAGGTGGTAACCAATGAGAAATGATGGTTGACTCAGGACGACTGAGATGAGTTTGAGTAGATTTGAAGGGAAAGATTGATTCGACGAAATTAACATGACGAGAAATATAAAGGCGAGATGTGTTGGTATCAAAACACAAATATGCACTTTGGGAGAAAGAGTAGCCAAGGAAGACACAAGGAACGGATCGAGCTTCAAGTTTGTGATTGTTGTACGGTCGAAGCCATGGATAACAAAGACAACCAAAGGTTTTAAGTTTAGAGTAGTTGGGAGTGGTGCCAAAGATTTTTTCGAATGGTGAGAACATGTTGAGTGTGGGTGTAGGAAGCCGATTGATGAGGTAAACGGCTGTAGCAAAGGCATGATTCCAGTAGATTAGAGGAATTGAGGCATGCATGAGTAGAGAGAAACCAGTTTCTACAATGTGACGATGTCGTCTTTCAGAATATCCATTATGTTCAGGTGTATCTGGTGGAGTGGTTAAATGAGTGATGCCATTTGTAGCTAAAAATGAATCAAGAGCTTGATATTCCCCACCATTATCGGAGTACAGGGTTTTAATTTTGTGATTAAAATAATTTTCTACAAGTGCTTTGAATCGGATGAAGACAACAGACATGAGATTTACGCTTAAGCGGATAATACCAGACATATTTGGTGAAGTGATCAACAAAAATGACGTAGTATTTGAAGTCATCATATGAATGCACAGGAGAGGTCCAAACATCAGAGAAAATTATTTCAAGAGATTTTGTAGAGACAAGAGAAGAAATAGAAAATGGAAGCTTATGACTTTTACTACAGCTGCAAGCATTACAATGCTTATTTGTTGTGGAGACAGAAACTGGTAATTGAAATTTAGAGATGACATGTTTGTAAATTGGAGAGGCAGGGTGACCTAGGCGATTGTGCCACTCGACAGTTGTTGTCTTGACACTGGAAAAGAGAACAAGAGGGGATTTGGTTGTTGAAGAGATTGGCCACTCATACACTCCATCCTTGGTTGGTCCCTTCAGAAGTGTTGCCCCCGTGCTTAGGTCCTTCACCAGAAAACCAGAAGGTAGGAATTCAATAGAAACATTATTAGTGAGGCACATTTGAGAAATGAAAATGAGATTCTTTTTCATGGTGGGAACACACAAAACATTATGTAATTGAAAATTGCGTGTGGAGGAAGGAAGTGAGGTAGAACCAATGTGGGTAATTTGAAGACCCGTGCCATCACCAATCATGACATCGTCATGGGCATCGTACGGTGCATGAAGAGAGAGATTATCCAGGTCGGTGGTGACATGATGAGATGCACCACTATCAAGAAGCCATGATGGAGTGTTGGATGTGCCAGTTGTGGTGTAGTTGACTCGTGGTTGCCAAGGAGACGATGAACGTGGACCTGTTGGTCGGAAACCCGCTGATCGTGGGGTTGTTGGTGAATAGCCTGAATTAGATTGAGTGGAGATTAATCGAAATTGCGGGCATCGTTTGGCTGTGTGCCCTTGAGTATTGCACGCTTGACATGTTCCAAGATAAGGACGTGGTGGAGGTCTTTCAGCCCGAGAATTGTTAGATGACGACCATTGATGTGGTGATGGTTGAGTTGATGAGTTGAAAGGGGGACGCCATGGTTTGCTTCGCGGATTCACGGTTGTCGGATTTGCTGTTGCTGGAAGAGATGCTGGTTGTGGTGGTTGAGATTGACGCAACGTAGTTTCCTTGTTCAGGAGTTTTTCATGAAGCTCATCAAATGAGATGGTCGTGTCTCGAGCGTTGACAGCGTCAACGATGGATTTGTATTCCTCATCAAGACCGTCAAGGACTTTTTCAATCAAGTCCTCTTCATCAGATGGTTTGCCCAGAATTGCAAGCTCATCGGCACGACTCCTAATATATTGCATATATTCACTAATGGTACGTGAGCCTTTGATTGGATTCTTTAGTTGCTCCTTAATTTGCTTGATATGACCACGAGTGGGTTTTGCATATGTGCTTTCAAGAATCATCCAGGCATCACGAGAGGTGGTAGCACGGTTTAGGAGTGGAACAATTGCAGCCGACAATGATCCGACCATGGCGCTGAAGATTAATTTATCCTGTCGATGCCATGTTTGAAACGCTGGATTTGGTGACTCCTTGCCATTAGTGGTAATGGTGGAAGATGGTGCATTAATCGAGCCATCAATATAGCCTTCAAGATTGTAGCCTGTCAAGGTTGCATGAAATTATAATTTCCATGAGAGATAATTGGTGGGTGTGAGTTTTATGGTGGAATGGGAGGAGATGTTTATGGCAATAAGAGGATGATTAGGTTCATGAGAATTTGGAATGATTGGTTGAGAGATGGCAGTGACTGTTTGATCTTTTGAGGCCATTGTGTGAAGAAGAAGTGTGCAACAGGTGATTTCTGAGTTCAACCGTGAGGGGAAAAAAAAAAGAGACGAAGAGGAAGATTGGCTTACGATCAGGGCTCTGATACCATAATATGAATATTGGAGCAAATGGCAGCATTCCATTAATTCCAAGAAGTAAATATATACAATTGTCATGGAGTCGCAAATCAATACTAATCTCCTAAAATAAAGAATTGACAATCAGTAGCTAATTGACAGCTATTTATACGTTATTCTAATCCCTAGAATTAGGCAATTGACTCAATCTACAATAATGATAAATTATTTACAATGATTGACTGTTGTTGCCTTCTATAATATATATATATATATATATATATATATATATGTATGTATGTATATACACACACATATATAATATGTACACTAAAAATCGAAATTTGACATGCCTCCGAAGGAAAGCCATTGTCGGTGGTTCTCTGTTTGTTGATGAAACCTTTGATGACAATACTCACACCATCAGAAGTCTCCAGAGTGAAGACATCAAATCTTTTGGTTATGGCTGATGAAGAAAACGCTCTCAACGCTCGGTTTTGTCTATCAATCAAATTATACAGCATTATTTTCATCTAAAATTTTTTAATCGAAACAAACCCTAAATCCCAAATCAGAGAAGGAAAGAAAAATAGGGAAAAGTAGAGTTTACTCTCTAGAAGTAAAGCCGGCAATGCCCAGTCTCTTCCCTTGGAAAGCGCTTTCAGTTTTGATCAACCACCAATCGAACAAGCATACCTTTCAAAAACCCAGAAATTCAACTCACAACACAAAAGATATGTAGAGAGAGAGGAGAGAGATAGTGAAAAAGAAAAAGAAAAACTCACTGTTTTACGGAAAAAAGAGGAAGATCCGGCTCTACTGTCGTCAGTGCCTCCATGGATTGTGTCTGCCGGAGTCGGAGGAGGAGGAGAAGAAGCGGCCATTGATGACGCCGCCAAATATACCTGGAGAGCAGTATCACGAGGTCCCTATGGAGCTATACTAGAATTATAATTTCCAAACTCAAATCATAATTTAAGCGGTCAAAAGTTGATTTTCACTATGAAAAATACCGAAATATCTTCATATTTTACAAGTTTTGTTTCCTTTGCAAAAAAGTTATTGTGACATTTAGGCTCGTTCATTTCGTTAATTTGAATTTAGAATTTGAGTTTTGTTATAATAAAAAATTCTCATAAATAATCACATTTAATTTTTTTATTACAGTAAAAAACTTTCATATAAAATCACATCTCAACTCGAATCAGCAAACTAAACGGACCCTTAACTCTTTTAAGCGGTCAAAATTAATCGTTAATCAAGACAAGAAGTTATCATAAATTAAAAATTAAAAAACATAAATATGGTCAATTGTAAAATATAATATTACATTATTTTTATTATTATTTTAAGTATAAAAGTAAAAAATACCTTTTATTACAGGATAACTTTATTAATTTAATCAAAATCATATTAAAATAAAAAAATATGTATAATAAATAGTTTTTATATCAATATGATGTTTTAAGACAATGTCCTATCAACCTTTTTCTTTTTACATTATCAAATGCTTTATATGTATTTGATAGTTTTTAAAAACAACAATACTATAATTTCTTTTTGTATATTTTTTTATTTTTTATTTTTATTTTTGAAAAATAAAATAATATTTTGCTTCCACCAAGATTAACGGTTAGCTCCATCACTAACTACAACAATAAACTTTGAGTTGTGAATGAACGAGGCATGAGTATTGATACCTAACCATACATAGAATAGTCAAACCTATTTTCCTATTTTATTTTTAGTTTGTTGAAATAAGTTTTTTTAACAAAATGTGTTCCTACTTAATTATTTTTTTGTCAATTGTTATCTTTACATATATTCTATTTTAAACTAAATTCAAAAATTCTTAAATAGTTGTATAAATAAATTTCTCATTATTCGATAAACAATAAACTCTTGGAGTCTCTCTAACATGACAATATATGCGGAATACGTTACAAAACTAGTATGAAATAAAAGGATCCAATATGTTTACTTCCTTTTTAGTATACCTCCAAAACTTTTAAGGGTATTAAAAAAAAAAAAAAAAACGTCGCATGTTTTACGTAAAATACAAACATCTCAATTGAAATCATAATACTTATCTTTTAATTCTCAATCTCTTAAATCAAAGTCAATAAAATTGAACAACTTCCAACAACGTTACAAGTTGGGGGACAAATTTATCAAAAAAAGAATTTTATGAGGCAAGTTATCAAAGTAATATAAATTCGGAGGTAAATGTGCAAAATGCTATAGAAAAAAAAATAGAGAATTAAAAATGGAACACTTAATATAAATTAAAGGATAAATTTCACGTGACCCTTCTTAAATTATAGATTTTGTCACAAAATACCTCTCAAAATTCAATTTTTAACATCCATCATGTCAAAATTTAAAAGTCTTTTAAATTTTTCCTTTCCATTAAGATTTTAACGAAATTGGGGCATTTTAGTGACAACGTCAATAAATGTAGTATTTAGATTTTTTATTTAAAGATTTAAACACCATTTTTTCTAACCAATTCCTTTATAAATGATTTTCTTTTCAAAAATTCCTTTTATAATTGATAGAGCCGTGTTTATTGTCCAATCATCATCTTCATTGTCTTTCTTTTCCTCCATATCCACGCTAGAAGAAATAACAGCATTGCAAAAATACTATCTATGACCCAAAAAGATGAAGACCTCGTTCGTTTCACTGATTCGAGTTTAAAATTTGAGTTTTGCTACAGTAAAAAGCTCTCACAAATAATCACATCTAACTTTTTTATTACAGTAAAAAATTCTCACATACAATCACATCTCAACTCAAATTATAAACTCGAATCAGCGAAACGAACGAGGCCGAAGTTGTTTTTATAATCAAAGATCATGTGCCATATAAAATATACTTCTTTTGCCCTAATTAAAATCCACTAAGAGTGGGTTAATTATCGATCCCAAAACCAACTAACAATACATATATTTTCAAGACTCAGCTTACACTTTACGGGATTAATGGAGAATTTCCGTCGTTCACAGTAAACTAATAACAAAAATAAGATATACTTTGTAAGAAAGAAAGTGAATCGAGAGTGAACGGGAGTGAGAGGGAGGGAGAGATGGGGGGAAGAGTGTCTGTTTGGGCACGATAGAGATAGAGAGAGAGAGAGAGTAATTTTATAAGTTTATTTGATTAATTATATATTACCTTAGTTTAGGGGTAACATCGTACTTTCACATTTAATAATCCATTATCCAACTCTTTTGAGGAACAAGCTCCACATGTCATTTTCAGTTAACATTTTAATAAAAATGAGAAATTTGTAATAGTTGTCAAGTTTAGAAGGAAGGAATGTTACAAATTAAAATTTATGAACCATTATGTGACAAAGTTTATAATTTAAATGGATAAAACGAGCAATTACCCTAAATTAAATAGGGTTTAGATAGTGGATAGAAAGACTGACTCGACCCCTTTTCAGTATCTTCTCAGATCGTTTAGTTTGCTACAGCTCTTTTGCTCTTTTTTAGTGGTGACCGGTTGTCTTTTAAAAATTTGATCGGTGTATCTTGGGTAATCTCTTTTTTTGAGTTTTTAATGTGTAATAAAGGAGACAATTGTCGCCATTCTTTAGTTGTTGGTCACCGACATGTGTTTGGCTTTGTTTTGTAATAACGGAGGTGGTTTCTCAACTTTTTAATTTTGGTTGTGTTTCCCAGCTGGTTAGATTGTTTACCGATGGCGTGAGTTTTTTAGTCCTGTTAGAATTTTATTTATGTCGTGTTGCTGATATTCCCTCTATGCGGGGTTAGTGATATGTCCCTGAGTTCGGACGACTATCTTGATGGAGTTCGGACATGGAAGGGTTTTTTCAAATCAAGTCATTTTGTTTGTTTTTTAATGTGTTAGAGAGATTTTTTTTTTAATTTTTGGGCCTGTCCTTCATAGGTCATTAACATTATATTGTATGTTTTGTGTTCTGTTTTTCGGTTTAAATGCAATTTCCCTTAAACACGTGACTTGCGTGTGCAGGAGCATTAATAGATTTTATTATTATTATTTTAGAGTTAAAGTAAAAAGGTCAATTAACCTGATAAAAATGGTTATAGTTTTGAGGAGGGCATTTACCTAATTCATCGGGCTTTCTCACTCTATCGGAAGCAAATCTGTCTTCGTTGACTCAGAGAACGCCTCCCGACACCGTGAGTTTCTTCCTTCTTTCTTTCTTTCTTTTTGTCAATTTCTCGATTTCTCGATTACAATTCTATTTGACCTGGAAGTATTCCCGTTTCTTGATTCTGGTTTGTATAGATCTCTGATTCCTTGGTTGTGGTATCAAGTCATTTGATAAATGGAAATCTAGGGCTTTTCTCCACGAAAATCGATCAATCTGTCATAATCGGTGCTTTATGCCCAAGTTTTATCGCAGTTTCTACAGAAAATTAGAGATTATGTTTAGGTGTCTCGTGATATAGGTTATTAATTTGGGAAATTGAAGATTTTGATGATGACGTATTTAGGATCTGGAACTTAAGCCATAATTGGTAGGCAGAGAGTGGATTAGAGACAATGGGAAGCTTGATTTCAGAAAATTCTTAGTGTTAATAGGCTATGATTCAGAAGAAAAAGGGATTACTTGAGAGAATATGGAAGAGTTGTCAAATGAAATTTGTAAAAAAAAAAAACAAAAAAAAACGAAAAGAAGAAGAAGAAGAAGAATCAAATCAGGCATAATGAATTCAGTTCAGTGTTATATGGCCCCAATTAAATAGAAGTAGTCCATCAAAATGTGGATGTGGCCCCAATTGAAGAGGGGATGAGAATCGTCGTCTTGCGAATGATTCTTTCGGTGTTTTGAACCCACTGGAGAGGGCAACATAATAATATTTGTTGAGTTTGTTGACAAATTTCAATTTCTGTCTCTGTGGTTGGCCCGCTCAGTAGTCCATGTTTAGTCCTCCTTTTTTTTTTTTTTTTTTAAATCTTTGCATATATGTTTCCTCCATTGTTTATGGCAAACTTGGTTTTCAGCTTAAATAAAGATTTATATTATATGGTATTATTGATGCGTGGTAATATTAATTTTATAATCTTTCGTTCCTTGTTACAGATGATTGACGACCAAGACTTGGGTTTCTTTGCCAATTTTCTGGGTATCTTCATTTTTGTACTGGTAATAGCTTATCATTATGTGATGGCCGACCCAAAGTATGAGGGAAACTAAGGATTCCTTTTTATTCCCCAATGTAGTACTTATAGAGATGCCAAGTATTGTGGACTGAGCTGTTTTGCTAATGTATGCAGTTGGATTTACTTGAGATCTACATGAATATGAATGCATTTTTTCTGGATTTATGACAACTTATAGTACCTTTTATGATTGTGATGAAGTTGATAGTGCTCTTGAAATGGTAGCTTTGTTGAATGTTGAGTATCTGAAAGTATGCAAAAAGTTCTTTTCTGTATTTTAGTTTGATGTAAAGAGATCGTGAAGTTCTAATGTCACTTCACTGAAGTCAAATGCCATGGGAAAGAAAGAAGATTATATCCTGGTGCCAAAAAAAGGTTAGATCTTTGTATGTCTTTAACCTAGAGAAACTTAGACGTGCATTATGGGAACGTAAATTGGTCATGCTGGTTTGATATTTCGTATATTAGATTACTCTATTAGTAATAGGTGGCTTAGGGATCAAATATTGTCTAAGCACACCCATTTATTTACAGGTTGATGCTTTTGGTACATATATTATGAACTCAGCAGTTACTTTTTACAGGAAATTTTGTGCAAATTTTTATTGTTGGAAGGATTTTCCAATTTAGCTAGTTCTTTTACTTTTTTATCAATCTCATTAGCTTCCCTTGCCAAACTATGGGTGCCAAACCCAAGGCCAGTTAAGGAAAGAGCCAATTGCCTCTTAAACTTCTCTGTACCTTCGCAAGTGTATTCCTTCTCAACAACTTCCACCAGATGTCGTAGGAAACAACTTAGAATGGCATCTACTTCCTTATCATTTGAACCCAAATGCTTTGATACATTTTCATGTGCCAATCTTCCCAATTCAATGCCATGTGAGAAGTCTTCTGTTGGCGACACTTGGAGAGTCGTGATCGAAGTGGCTTTTTCAATGCATCTCAACAACATAGACTCAACTCTCATTTTGAAAAATTCTAGATCCTCATTCACTTGTTTCAGGACCTCCTCCAGATCACCTCCTTGCTCCTGCGATGCTTCAAAAACAAAAACAAATTCTATTTCATAGGCAACAAAGAGCAAAAGATTCATCAATGTTGAGAATGACCCTAGTAGCTTATGGTAGCAAACACTGTCAAACGGCAAGAACCAGAAATTTGGCTCCATTTCAGCTTCTTCTATGAACTTTTCTAGATCATCAACGTGGCATTTTAGCTGAAGATGCTTTTCTCTCAATACTCTAGAAGCGGGAACATTTTTCTGTGTAGGAAAAAGACTTACATTTTCAACACAATCTCGGAGCACTCCAATGCACTGTGAAAGTTCAGTCTTTGCAAGAGTTGCTGCTCTTGCAGGATTAAGAAGGAGCTCTACTAGGACAAAGCATATTAATCCAATTGTTGCCTCTATGATTCTAGCAATTGCAAACTCGGTTGGAGAACCATAATCTCTCCTACCCACGATTAGTAATTGTGGGAATAACCGCATTATCTTCTAGAAGCAAGCATTATCTTCTAGAAGCAAGCATTATCTCCTAAGGATTATGCCCGGCTAGGGCTAGGGATCATGTGATTATCTATTTCCTAGATTCTAGGTGACCGGCTAATAATAGAATTAGGGATAAGTTCTTTTCTCCAATGAGTTTATCTAACTCGTGTATATATATAGCCCTTTAGTGGCTTGTGTAAATTATTGGAATTAATAAAATATTTTTTCCTCCATTCTTTTCCACATGGTATCAGAGCCATAGGGCTTTTTTTTGTAGAAATAAATCCTTCTTTTCCTCGGCCTTCATAGCCGAATTTCACTGATTTTTTTTCCTCGGCCTTCATAGATTTTTTCCTCGGCCTTCATAGATTTTTTCCTTGGCCTTCATAGATTTTTTCCTCGGCCTTCATAGTCGAATTTCTCTGAAGTGCCTTCATCGTAGTTCCCTTTTTTCCCATTACAGTTTTTTCTTCCGCAATTTTTTTTTCCTGAATTTGCCTTTTCTTTGCGGATTACCCTCTTTCCTGTTTCTTGTTTTGCGGATTACCCTCTTTCTTGTGATCCCACATCTGAATAAATTCAAAGATGTCAGAAACAACCTTTTCAACTCCCTTGGTTCAAGCAACCCAACAGCATGAGGAAGAACAGATCCAGCGTTCTTCAGGCGATTTCTAGAATATACAGACAACCTATAGACTCAATGGCAGAAACTACCCGAAGTGGTCCCAATTGGTTAGGACTTTTCTAAAGGGAAAAGGAAAATTAAGTCACTTTCTTGGGACTAGACCGGATGAATGAGATGTTGGATTCGAAGCTTGGGATGAAGAGGATTCCATGATCATGTCTTGGTTGTGGAATTCCATGACACCTGAAAACAGCGACACATTCATGTTTCTGCCAACCGCAAAGGCGATTTGGGATGCTGCACATGGAACCTACTCTAAGGTCCGTGATGCAGCTTTGATTTACGAGATTAAGATCAAAACAGCGGCAGCCAAACAGGGAAAGAAAACTGTAACAGAATACACTAATTTTCTGCAAAACCAGTGGCAAGAACTGGATTATTGCAGGGTAATTGACTTGAAGTGCAGTGATTGTGCAGGGGCAATGAAAAGATTCATAGAAAGAGCTCGAGTTTATGACTTTCTTACAGGTTTAAACCCGGAATTTGATCTTATACAAATCCAGGAAGTTGGAAATCTCGTCCTTGGAAGAGGCAATAGCTTTAATCCGGGCTGAGGAAAGTCGCAGAGGAGTGATGCTTGAACCTGAAGCAGTTGATGGATCTGCACTCGCAACCTCTAGTAACAAACAACGGAGTCTCATCTTGGAACAACCACCAAAAGCTGAACTTGGAAAAACGGAGGATAAAAAGGGAGCAAATCGAGAAGATCTCTGGTGTACCTACTGTAAAAGCCACGACATACAAGAGAGCGCTGCTGGAAATTACATGGAAAACCTTCAACAACTAGCCGTGAATGGGGAAATAAAGGAGGACAGCATCAACGACAACAAGGCCAAGCATATAAGACCTCCCAAGTAAGTCAAGATCAAGCTCAAACTCAAGACCATAGCGGGTTGAATAATGAAGATATAGAAAAATTGAGGAACTTGTTGGGAACCCTTGAGAAACCATCCTCCAACACTTGCTCTTTGGCACTCTTAGGTAAGCACTCATTCTCTTGTGGACTAAAATGCTTTAGATAAATTGTTTGTGAATTCATAGATTTTAGACTCGGGAGCTACGGATCATATGACACATGCCTCAAACGAATTTAAAACTTACACCCCGTGTCCAAGTAATAGAAAAATTACGATTGCCGATGGAACAACAACCACAGTTGCCGGGGTAGGGGATGTCCATATCACACCTAGTTTTATCCTTAAAAATGTTTTACATGTCCCAAAACTGTCCACCAACCTTGTGTCTATTCAAAAGCTTGCAAAAGACTTACATTGCCATGTTACGTTTTACCCTTCTTATTGTGAGTTTCAAGATCAGGATTTGGGGAAGAAGATTGGACGTGCTAAGGAAAATGATGGACTCTATTACCTTGAGACGTCGAATTTTTCACATATGATCAGGAAGAGCCTAACATCCTCATTTTTGTCTTCCTCCAAAAGGGATCTCATTTGCTTGCACCACTACCGCCTTGGCCATCCTTCTTTTGCAGTTTTAAAAATTTTCCTTCTTTATTTAGGGGATTAGATATTAGGGGATTTCATTGTGACATTTGTGATGCAAAACACACTCGTGTTTCCTTTTCTATTAGTAATAAAAGATGTTCTTCTCATTTCTATCTAATACACAGTGATATTTGGGGCCCTTCCACTACTCCAAATATCTCCGGTTCACGTTGGTTTGTGTCCTTTATCAATGATTGTACTAGAGTTACCTAGATCATTTTGCTCAAAAATAAATCTGATGTGAGTAACATCTTTCCCGATTTCCACTTGATGATTTAAAATCAGTTTGGTACTAAAATAAAGAGATTTAGGTCTGACAATGCAAAAGACTACTTTAATCAGTTCTTGTCTCCTTTTTTCCAAAAAGAAGGAATCATCCATTAGTCATCTTGCGTAAAAACTCCACAACAAAACGGGGTTGCAGAAAGAAAAAATGGTCACCTCCTAAAAACTACCTGGGCACTCTTGTTTCATCATAACGTACCAAAACACTATTGGGGGGAAGCCATTCTTACCGCTTCCTAGATCATAAACTGAATTCCTTCAAGGGTTTTAGGGTCAAAAAGTCCAATGGAAGCTCTTTCTAAATTCCATTCTGATATCAACCAACAACCTTACACCTAGAATTTTTGGGTGCACTTCATTTGTTCATGTCCATAGCAACAATCGGGGAAAATTGGACCCTAGAGCTGTCAAATGTGTCTTTGTAGGTTACTCTTCCACACAAAAAGGGTACAAAGGGTACAAATGCTATCATCCACCCACCAAAAAGCTCTTTGTCTCAGCCGATGTCACATTTGCATAAGAGAAACCATATTTTGCTCAACCTTATCTTCAGGGGGAGCCATCTATTATAGAAGATAAGGATTCTTTCCTTCGTGATCTACCATCCTCTTCTTCATCATCCCATCCTCCCACTCCTAACTTGTGGAATCCGCAGCACCCTCAAAACCTACCACAGCCTACCCAATACCATTTGTGTCTCCTATATAGGATAAGACTCTTGATCATATACGCTTTGGAAAAGAAAAGACGTACTCAAGGAAACGGGGCCCAGCCTTTGAATCTACGCAAGTTCAAATCTCCAACCTGACTCTTGAGAATGAGGTAATAATTTCTGAACCTACTTTGCCTTTATTGGTAGAACACCCACCTTCATATCTTGACCTTCAAACACTTAACCAAGAATTGCCTATAGCTATAAGAAAAGGAACCCGCGAATGTACCAAGAGGCCATTATACCCACTATTTGATTTTGAATCCTTTGAGAGGTTTTCACCATCACATAAAAGCCTTCTTACGAGTCTAAATGAAATTGCTATTCCAAACACTTTCTCAGAGGCATTATCTAAGGAAGAATAGCGAAAAGTTATGGGAGTGGAAATGGATGTTCTGGAAAAAAAGGAACATGGGAGATAGTGGACCTTCTGAAGGGAAAGAAAGCAGTGGGGTGCAAATGGGTCTTTTCTCTAAAATTCAAGGCAAATGGGTCATTAGAGGGCTACAAAGCAAGACTAGTTGCCAAATGGTACACTCAGACATATGGGGTGGATTATCAAGAGACTTTTGTGCCAGTCGCAAAAATGAACACAGTAAGGATCTTATTGTCATTGGCAGCCAATTATACCTGGGACCTACAACAGTATGATGTGAAGATCGCATTCCTTCACGGGGACTTAGAAGAGGAAATGTATATGACCATTCCCCCTGGGTTCAGAGGAGTTGAAAAAGAAAAAGTATGCAAGTTAAAGAAAGCATTGTACGGTTTAAAACAGTCACTCCGTGCTTGGTTTGGAAGATTCACCAAAGTGATGCTAGCCACCGGATATAAGCAAAGTCAGGGAAACCACACCCTCTTCATCAAACACTCGGATTCAGGGGGAGTCACAGTCTTGATAGTTTATGTGGACGACATTATTGTAACAAGAAACGATGAGAGGGAGAAACAATCCTTGAAGTAGCGTCTGATCAAAGAGTTCGAGATTAAGGAATTGGGAAGGTTGAAATACTTTCTTGGGATTGAGGTGGCACATTCAAGACAAGGCATCTTCATTTCACAGCAGAAATATGTCATGGATCTTCTCAGAGAAACAGGAATGCTCGCTAGTGAACCAGCAGCAACTCCTATAGAGGCGAACCATAAACTTAGAGAAGCCACAGGTGATCAAACAGTAGACAGAGAAATGTACCAAAGAGGTCCATCTACAAGCAGCCTACCGAGTGCTTCATTACCTAAAGGCTAACCCAGGAAAGGGAATAATGTTCAAGAGGAACTCCGAACTTGTCTTTGAGGCTTACACGGATGCAGATGCAGGATCTCGTATGGATCGAAGGTCTATCTCCGGATATGGTACATTCCTTGGAGGCAACTTGGTGACATGGAGAAGTAAGAAACAAAATGTTGTAGCTCAATCAAGTGCAGAAGCCGAGTTTAGGGCAATGGCACAGGGAGTCTGCGAATTGTTATGGTTGAAGATCATATTGGACGACTTGAAGATTAAATGGAGTGGGCCGATGAGCCTCTACTGCGATAATAAATCAGCAATCAGCATTGCACATAATCCAATGCCAACACGACCGAACAAAACACGTCGAGGTGGACCGACACTTTATCAAGGAGAAGCTAGATAGTGGATTGATCTGCACCATATGGTCCCACAGGAGATCAACTAGCTGATATCTTCAGTAAAGGGCTATATATATACACGAGTTGGATAAACTCATTGGAGAAAAGAACTTATTCCTAATTTTATTGTTAGTCGGTCACCCAGAATCTAGGAAATAGCCCTTTAGTGGCTTGTGTAAATTATTGGAATTAATAAAATATTTTTTCCTCATTCTTATCCACAGTAATGCCCCAATAACCGCAGAAAATGCACCAGCTTGACCATAAGTCCTGCTTGGATTAGAAAACTGGTGATGATGATCCAAGGCAGTAAAAGTTAAGAGCCTCAGATGTGAAAGCCTTTGGAAAAGGAAGAAACACAAAATTCCATAGATCGAGGACCCCATTGATGTTCCTTGTGCCCGAGCATTTGCAACTGCGAAGGTGGCCTGCCGTCCCGACACAAAACTGATTGCAATTGTCGGTCCGTCCTGTGTCCATTTTCTTTGTTATAGATCAGCCCGAATAACACAGCAAGATCCAATGAGAAGGCCCTTTCGAAGCTATTCAGCTTCTCTTTTGATCCTTTGCTGTTGAGTTTTGGACTCTTATCGAAGTTTGATATTATTGGGGGATCATCCTGAAGGAATTCCATGCAATATAAGAGGAAAAGACCAGGGAGATTTTCAGGTACAATGGAGGAAGTTTGGGGGGTCCAAAGGTTTTCCTCAGAAGTTTCCCGTTTCCCCTCAGGAGCTGTAGTTGTATCCAAAGGCACAAAGCACTTTGCATGCTCTAGTTTTAGGCCTATTTGTACTTTGGAAATTTCTAGAACTTGTTTGAACTTCTCATCAATAATGCTAATAGGATACGTAGACGAAAATGACAAGGCTATTTCCATCCCCTTCATGGGCATTTCCGTAACTTGCTGTTTTTCTCCCAACTCCTTCCAATTGAGTTTTACTTGCGGTCTTTCCCATGCCATGCCTCCCTGATTACAAAAAAGAAACTAATGGACTTTAGAAGCCTCATCAATTGCATAATGACAAGTTTCACAGAAGTTTGGAGGAAGCTTTCGAACCACTCCAGACCGGTTCAAACAATATTTTCTTTCATTAAAAAATTTGAATTTAAAATGTAGTATTTTCTCTCATAAAATTTGAATAGATCTTTTTATTCATACACCTCTTTTTATTCTCTGCGTCCTTTTTAAATGAAAAATCCTTATGACAAAAAGACCATCACATAAAATGATGAAAAAATGATAATTATGATAAATTTAATTACATAATAAAATTTTATTAAAAAAACTTCCAATATTATATCTCAAATTAGACACTATTGTTATTTTTAAAATCCATGAAAAAGCTTTCACCTGACATCTAAAAACTTACATGGAGATTTTTTTTTTGTATGATGATTTTTCTTTTATCTTTTTTATTAATTTTATGTTTATATTTTTTCTAACTAATCTTTTTGTCTTTGTAAAGGTTAATTATTTAATTTTTTTTTAGCTTTGTATAAAGTTGGATTTTCTTAATGTTTCTTTCTCTTTTTTAAATAAAAAAAATCATTTTCCCATTTTCATCAATACCTTAGTTGATATAATAACTATGTTGCCCTTATGCTTTATCTCCTTTTATTTTTTTAAATGTAATTAATATTTTTTTATGTATGAAAAAAGGCTTTAAGCCCAAAACTTAAAAAAAAAAAATATATATATATATATATAGAGTTAAAAAACAATAATATCAAATAAAAAATTAAAATAAAATGGTGGGTATGAAAAGAAAAATAAAATGGTTAAAAATTGATTATATCGCGTTTGGTATGCAGTAATCTTAAGGATGAGAATGAGAATATACAATATTACCATGTTTGGTACAAGAATTATAATATTTAGATTCTCAAGAAAGTGATTACCATGGGATTCATTTTCTCTCATTTTAAGGTAATTTGAATACCACCCAACATGGTGTTATTCAAATTCCCAGGAATCTCAAAATCATGAGAATCTTATTATAATAATAAATATAATATTAATAATATTATTTTTATTATTATTATCATTATATTAATAATGTTATTCTTATATTAATAATATTATTTTTATTATTATTATCATTATATTAATAATGTTATTCTTATATTAATAATATTATTTTTATTATTATTATCATTATATTAATAATGTTATTCTTATATTAATAATATTATTTTTATTATTATTATCATTATATTAATAATGTTATTCTTATATTAATAATATTATTTTTATTATTATTATCATTATATTAATAATGTTATTCTTATATTAATAATATTATTTTTATTATTAATAATAATATTTTTTTATTAATATTATTATTATGGATCTTCTTCCATGCAAACAACCAAACATAGTAATGTATTATTCCTATGAATCATATTACTCTCTATCACTTTTCTGAGAATATGATTCCTATTAATTCCCGCATACCAAACGCCTCTTAAAAATAATTAGGGATAGTCTTGCAATAATGGAGTGTGTAAAAAGTAATTTAATCCTTTTAAAATTATGTAGGGTGTGTATTTAAAAAGGGGTGTAGAGAGTAAAAATGAGGGTAATCATTTCATTTTTTTTTAGCTTTCTATAAAGTTGGATTTTCTTAATGTTTCTTTCTCTTTTTTAAATAAAAAAATTCGTTTTCCCATTTTGCCATTTTCATCAATACCTTAGTTGATATAATAAGTATGTTGCCCTTATGCTTTATCTCCTTTTATTTTTTTAAAATGTAATTAATAGTTTTTTTATGTATGAAAAAAGGCTTTATGCCCAAAACTTCAAAAAAAAAAGAGTTAAAAAACAATAATGTCAAATAAAAAATTAAAATAAAATGGTGGGTATGAAAAGAAAAATAAAATGGTTAAAGCTTGATTATATCATAAAAATAGTTAGGGATAGTCTTGCAATAATAGAGTGTGTAAAAAATAATTTAATCTTTTTAAAATTATGTGGGGTGTGTATTTAAAAAGGGGTGTAAAAAGTAAAAATGAGGGTGTGAATAGAATCACCTATAATTCTGGTTTGAACCCACTTTACAAACAAACCCCAAAAGACTTTATTACAAAAATTTCTTTATATTTTAAACTTTTATGCACAAATAACTTATTATTTTTTATAACTTACAGTTTAATACCATATAATAGGTTGTAACTCCAAGCAAAAAAAAAGAAAAAAAGTTGTAACTGTGGCATGGTTTATGGTCTTCCAATAGCCAAACAAGCATGAATCGGCAACAAAAAAAAAAAAAAAAAGG